ACATCGGGGTCAGAAACGTTTTATTTGAACCTTATGTCTTATTCTATTGACATGATTTACAAGTTGTTTAAGGTTTTTTAATAACTTAACTCATGAATGAATGAGAATGGTGATATTTTGAAATCTGTTATGAATGAAACCAATTGAGACTATGGATTCCGATGCGTGGTAAATGATTATTGTGTTATGATTCCGAAAGGAAATGGTTATACATGTTGAAAAGCCCATGTTATAGAGAGAGATATGTGTGTATAATGTTTTTATGACACATGTGACATCCTTTTGTGATTTGTGATATTTATTAATTAAAATATTCTTGAATTATTCTTGGGATTTTAGAAGGGTGTTACATGTTGCATACAAGGGAACTGGAAATATACTAAAACCTGGTCGGATGGATCAACCTGCTCTGATATCACTATGTAACACCCTAAATCCACTGCACGTAAAATAATAGAATAATTCAAAGATATTTCACATAATCAAAAAGGGTGTCACACCTTTTCAAACAATCACCTGTTTTATTGCACTTAGAAAATTAAAGAAAAAAATTCAACACCTGTCATCGCATACTCACCTTCACTTAGGATATCATTGCAGGAACATTTCATCAACTAAGCATACTTCATAATAAAAATAACTCTCATTAATAAAACATAAAAAACTAAATAATAATGTTAGACCTCCCTGTGTTTCAGATCAGAGCACGTATTCTAAAATGCAAAATAAAAGGGAAAGAATGACAACCTCACGACATTATCCCGCTCTAAGAAACTACTCATTTACATATTTGTACTTTGAAGAGGAGCACATACCATAACAACAACAACAAATGGGTCAGAAATCAAATGAATAAAGTAAATTATATATGATGTAAGGCACAATACAAAACATATACATATTCAACAAGAATTACATCACAACATCTCACGAACACATTCACACGCCAAATCTCAAGAATCACACACAAATCAACATTATGCATATAACACATTTATGTAATGAAAATTGATTATGCAACTCAAGGAATATGCATGTGGTACCATATCAATAATTGGTTCACTCAGGAACTGGGTTCACTCTGCTCAAACCCCGAATCCACCTTGCTCGGATTCGAGACAAGTCACCAATCCACCCTGCTCAGATTGCAACTTGCCTCTTTCATAAAAAACAACGATATCATGAGTGCATGTCAAAATACTTCAATGCAACAACCACATAATTTTTAAAGTCCCTTGTCAACAATAAACAAAACATACATTTCCCCAACAATAATAGTTCACCCTACTCTAACTATTATTCCACGACAGCAACATAATCAACAACATGTCCGTACATCAACATATAATCATCACAACTCATATTCATCCAATAAAAAATCAACAATGTTCAAAATTTTCATCATTAACCAATTATAATTAATATTCTCAAATATCATAACATCATCACAACATTAAAATCTCATAATTAACATTTACTTGATTAAATAATTTTAAAGTTATTATTTCTCACCAACACCCACATAACATCAACGACTCATGTAATGTTCATCAAATAATCGTGTTATCACAATACATTCATCCCCTCAAAACAACAACTCATTTTATCACAAAACATTCGAACGACAACAAATCTTGGACTTATGAATCAAAAGTTATGATCAAAATGGTATTTTGAACAAAATTTGCCTTCGTGATTCGAATCACGTGTAAACTATGATTTGAACCAAATAGGGTAGGGACACCCATGTCATACCCCAAATTTGTCATACCCTTTCAACTAAATCATCTGGTTTATCCATGTCATTCTCCTCATAATCATTACCTTTACATTATGTCATTTAACACATCATGCATCACTAATCAATAAACTTGGCATGAGATCAAGGACTTTGAAGTTTAGGGTCTCTATATTTCTTTGAGGCTTTTCTACTTTACTTAAGGTGGAATTAATTGGTTTCTTCAACAATCAGGGTTTGAAGTTAAGGTCTTGATTCTCCTCCATATACAAGGCTATTCTCCATCAATGTTCATCAAGGGCGTGAATTAAGGGTTTGGTTTCATGGCTATCTTAAGCATAATTCTCTCAGCACTTCAAGCTTGACCTTCATCTAAAGACTTCTCCTAATTAGTTTCTCTACAGGTCTAGACCAAATGGATTTCTTTTCAAAAACTCAAGAGGCTTGAACTTGGGCATGACGATTATTTTGAGGCTTGTGAATCAAGGTTTTTGTGGTTGTGCTTGAAAATTGGTTAAGGGTTTTGTTTCATTGAGTGTTCATCAAGTCAAGAGGAATTACATTCAATTACATGACGACATTCAAAAATGGTGCTTCATTCGATTTACGAAAAGTTAAGGAAGAGATCAAGCTTCAATAAAAGTTTCAAGTATTGAAGAAAATGCTTTGTACATTGTGAATCCCATAAAAAAACCAAAGGTCATTCATATCAAGGCGTTCAAGTACGTTAATTCATTAAAATTAGTAAAGAAGAAACAAAGGCCATGGTTCATTCAAAGGTTGCATAATTTCAAAAGCAAAAGGAGAGACATGAAAAGGAAAAGGCACTTTGAAGAACTCATCATTTTCATTCAAAGTTCACAAGATGGATACCAAAAACATTCCTTGATTCAAGTGTGCAATTACTTTTTAAATTTCTAAATACATTACAAAGAATGCATCAAGATCATCATACGTTCATTACAAGATCTAACCATTGCAAAGTTTCATTATCACAAAATCATCACCATTACAAAGGCATCAATACATCATTACAAGGAAAGTTACATGGCCTTTACACCAAAAACCACAAAAGTAACTATCCTAAAGTTCACTAATTATTCTTCATGCCTTAATCTCCAAGAATTTAATTTTGCATCATTCATCCTCCTTCCAAGCATCTTCATGCCATAAGCTCCCATGCTCCAAAACTATGCATTTCATCAAACCAAAACCATTCTCTAATTGCCTTGTACCCGTGCCATTACACCAATTAACAAAAATACAAATAAGCTTTTGATCCATTCAAATCATAGCAGCTCTGCATAGAACAAAAAACTGATTCAACACAACTTGTCCAGTTCAACAAACCAAAACAGTTGCGAGAAAACATAAAACAAAAGCAGTTAACCAATCTACATTATTAAATGGATTTAATAAAATCCAAATAAGTCATGAATCAGTTCAGAAACAAGTGTGATTCAGCTCATAACATCCAATGACACAACCAACAGAAGATCAAATTTCAATAACAGAATCACTTAACACTAATCCAAACCTAAGCTTCAATTTCCAAACCTTCCATCTGAACCTAACATTCTCGTTCATTACCAAATCGAACAAACTCCAAGGTTGTGATAACAAACTCAAAAGCTATGTCGAAATATCCTAACCTCACTCCATAGCTAGAATTACCGAACATGTTGCCTATAAATTATTTCCCTCTATTTCAGTTTCACTCAAACAACCATTTTCACTCTCTAACCATTTTTCAGATCACACCCCTCACCAATCATCACTCTCATTCTCTCATTCTCTCAATACTCTCTGGAACTTCATCATAATGTTCATCCTTACCTTCTTCCATATCTATAACCGTAACATCTCAACCACTTCTATATCTCTCTCACACTCATCTCTCGGGGTGCAACAACAACCACAAACAACACGTAAAAGAAAGAGACAAAAATACAGATAAAGAAGAAGAAGAAGAATAAGAGAGGAACACACGTAAGTGTTGTACCCCGAAATTTCCTCTCTTCATTTTCAACTTTAATTGGCTTATACTTCATCATAACATGCATACATATATCTTATAGGGTCAAATACTCATGGAATCTTGACATTTTTCTGCAAGAAAGAGTTGTGAAATTGATGTTTTTTGCATTTTAAATCCACTCCGCATTATTTCCAAGTTACCCAATCAACAACCAAGTAAGTCATCATCATATCAATCTCTTATGTTGTAACACGCTTTGAATCATGCAGAAAGTCAGGCGTTTCATTTGATTTGAGACAATGCAGATCGAAATTCAGTACGGTGTGTTTCAAGATTAGAAATTTATAACTAGAGATCAAAAAATTGTTTGGGATTGATTCTTCTGTCTTTAGAACCTTATTTAGGTATTCTTAATTTTATATGTTCATGTCGAAGACCAATTTTGTGAGGAATATTTTCTAAAGCACAAAATACCCGAAATGCGTTATACAACGGATTTACCGTTTCTCTGGTTTTCAGATGCTTAAAAATTTGTAAATTTTGACTGGAATATCATATTTGAGTTCCTCTTAGAGAATTTGAATCATCTTGTTATTTCCTTAAAATTTCATGTTCAGCTCATAAGTTAACTCATTGAGGAAGATCTCCGAATGTGTGAGTACTCAGAAGCTATACAGTGAAAAAATAGCGAAAATAGTGTACTGAACCGTTATTTTTCGGATGTTAAAAAATTCATAACTTTCTCCTGCTTTGAGGTTTCTGAGTGGTTCTTTGGGAGAAAAGTCTGTCTTGAACTTATCTTCGATCCGTATGTTCGGGTCAAAAGTTAATTCTTTGCAAAAGATTTCCATAAGTGCCAATTACTAGAGAAAATTGCACGCCGAATAGATTTTCTACCGAACTGTTTTTCGATATTATAAAAATCGTAAATCTCTTGATTTTTATAGTATCAAGACGATTCTTGAAGCATGAATTCAAAATTTTTGTAAGCTTCGACTTTGCTTCAGGCTTCGAGCCCGAATTTTGCACTGAGGGGCATGACCTTGTGGTTTGTTCATGCGTCGTACGTCGAATAAGCTTTAAAATTCTGCACTGTGATATTTTTTCACTATTTCTCGTTGCTTAGAGCAACATAACTTATTTGTTTCTTATTGTATCGAGACGATTATTTCGGCACTGTGACACAATTCTTGTCATCGACATATTTGTTTCGAGTATTTAGTCGAGATTTCGCGCTGATCTTCATTTCCTCAGAGGTTGTGTTGATTGCACTTGGTATCAGTTCAAATTTCAAGTTTGAAGCCAAAAATATATAATCAAATCTCAAATCTCAAACACAATTACACACAAAATTTCATTTCTCCCCAAATCAAAAACTCAAACCCTCTTTCTTTTCTCTCAACTTCTCACAAACTTCATCAAGAATCTTCATCACAAATTCAAACAAACTCATACAAAACTCATCAATTCTTCTTTTCTACCATCAAGAATTCCGAAAGAAATCTCTCTTTCACCCTTGTGCTGCTGTTCCACCACTACCAGTCAACCATTCTGACTCTGTCTCATCGTCGGAAGTCCAGTCAGAGCCACCACGAGCAGTCCACGGGTTTCCTCGCCATTTTCATGCTCTTTTCGTATGTTGTCGCGTTGATTTTTGATGGTACTTCTTGATTCCGATCACGTTTTCTGATGAGTCCAATACCTTCCAATTCAATTTTGGTAAATCTACTTGCACTTAATTGCTTATCTGAGATAGTTGATTTTGTGAACTATTGAGTTGAATTAAATTGACATAAACTTGAATTGAGTTATGTGATTTGAATTTCAGTTATATCTTGAAATTAGAGTTGAACTTGTGATGACGAAGATAATTGGAATTGATTTAGTAATCATTGAAATATTCTGAATCTTGAAATTCAATTTGATAATTGTTGATAAGAGTTTGAATTCTTGAATTATAAAAGCTTAATTGAGCATTGTGTTAAGGCTTGATTCTTGAATGTAAATGATTTTTGGTGATTTCTAGAGTTTAATATTCTTGAAAATTGTTCATGAACCGGTAAATTGATGTTGATGTCGACTATGTCGGAATGTGATAATTTGTGTTGAATTTAGGAATTGTGATGAAGTTTAAATTTAATTCCATGAGTTAATGCAAGTTTATACCGATTTGTTGATGAATTAGATTTTCCAACATTGAAAACCTCAAATAGGTTGAAATTACATTAACACTTGAAATTTGATTTGTTCTTGGGTTTGAGACTTCAAGTATAATTTCATCTTTTGTAACTTGTTTACGTTTTCTTAGCGATATTACTTGAACTGAGAAGCGTGTTTTTGAGTCCATTTGCAATTGTTGAAATTGATTTTTATCGGTATTGGTTCAAGTATGCATCGCTTCCCGGAATGTGTAAACAAGGTGCAAGTCGTTTTTAAAATTTGTTTGAGGTTTATTTGATCATATTGAGACATCAATGGATGGTTGAGATTGATTTTTACCATTTCCGATATGACTTTCCGGGTGAATTTGTGATACGGTGTAGTGTTGTCCAATTTTCAAAAATGAACTTTGAACTTGTTTTAATTGTTGGATTTAGTTCCGTTGCATTTGTTTTGGAATTTGAGTGACGATTATGTCAAGTTTTACCGATTTCAGACCAATTTTTTGCGTTATGATGTTATACGGTGTAGTGCTGCCCGAAATTTCAAAAGGCACTTGGTTTGAGTTTTATTTTGCGGTTTATGTGTTTCTAGCTTTAGGCGGATAATTGAGGAGCATTGATATTAATTTCGGTTAATTTTAAGACAAATTTTTGTGCACTCTAGAATTGCATACAATGTTGTCCGATTTTCTTTATAATACGTGCATTGAGTTTTAACATCCATATAGAGCATGTTTGCACTTCATTGGTTGATTATTGGACATTGTTGTTGAGTTGACTTGATTTTGGTGCGTTTTACGGGTTAATTCTTAAAATGATAGAGGTGCTACCCCGATTTTGTAACTTGCACTCAGAATGAGTTTTAATTGTTGATTTATGCATCATTGTACTTGCATTGGTCTTTGTTATACATTTGCATCAAGTTGCATCGATTTCCGACCGACATTTTGTGTACTTTATTGTGTGATGCACATTCTGCCCCGTATTTGGTTTTGTGCTTTCGTTACTTGTTTGATTTCGCTTTATGCATGATAATTTTCCATTTTGAGTTTAGATGTCGATTGTCGAGTTAAATTTGATATTCCTTGTCATTTGTTAACTCTTCTTGTGACATTGTGCAAGTTTTGGAAGGCGATTCATCGCAACACATTTGGTCGGTTTTTATTATTTGCTTATGTAGCATTGCTTGGTGCAGGACATTAGCTCGGAGAGCGCATAAGTTGTGATTTATTTTTGCATTGTAATATTGGATGATTGTATTGGATATTGTATCTGATTTGATTTGTTGTTAATGCTAGCTCACTCGGAGACTTTGAGTTTCTTGGGTTGTATTTTCTAAATAACAGACTCTTATCTGTTTGGTACATTTATGGCTTATTTTTCCATATTTGTTTACTGCTTTTATGATGCCATGAGAAGTAAGACTAGAGATGCATGTTCTGGAAGTCCTTGCATTAGGTGGGCGATGCTGTTTTAAAAGACATTTAGAAGGCAATTCCTATGTGCGCTTGTTTGTTTATATTTTGGCTTGTTTACATTTGTGCCAAAGACCTCAATGAAGGTGTCCTGTTCCCATTCTCCATTGATAAGTTTTCAAAAGGAGGCAAGGCGACAGAGGGTCTGTAATCGACCACGCCATTCTAGTCCCCAAGTCGTTCATAGCTCACGTTTTACGTTGATTCTATGAACCGTGGTGCTCATGTTATCGAGTCACTCATATGGAAAAAGGGATTTGTAATCGATCCCCCATACTTTTTCTTCATCTCGCGTTTGTGAAAAGTTGATGCTCTTATGTGATCTCATTATTGTCTTCTATCTCCTACCTCAATTTTTGATATCTTGGTTAAGAGTCGACACCCCTTTATTTCTTGCCCTGATGATTTGATATCACGGTTAAGAACAACTATTCCCTCATTCCTTTTTCCTAGACGATTCAATGTCTTACCTAAGCATTCCTTATCCTACTGTGATGATTTGATATCATGGTTAGGTGCCCCCTCTTCCTTTGTCTTACCTCGATGATACAATATCATGGTTAGATAAACCTCTTCTTATCCTACCTTGGTGCCATGATACCTCGATTAGGTGTGTGCTACTTAAGTGGGTGAATACTCCTCAAGCTTTGTTTGTTTGTTTGTTTTGATTTCGAATTTGTGTGATCACACTTGTGTGCATGTTTCTTTAGGTTTTGAGCCTTTTCCTGACTCCTTTAGGATACACTTGTTTCATTTTTGATGCAAGTTAGACATTAAGATTGTAATCCGTGCATGCTAACATAGGTAGAGATTTCCCTTTTCAAATCTCAACTATAGGACCAATCATTTTATGATAGCATTAGCAATAGAGCTATATAGTTTCCCTTAGATGTTTTCTTTTCTTTTTGTATCCTTAAAACTAAAACTCTTTTCTTTGACAAACTCATAAAACACTATAATTTTTTAAACCCTTTTTCAAGGTAAAAAATGCTAACCAATTCAAATATTTTTTAGTCTTGGGACTCTATTTTTTTTCCTTTTGAAAACATTTTTGATAAGGATATGTCGTTTCAAATCCGAGAAAGTTGAAACGCTAAGTGTGCGAGTGGTCCAACATGAGTCTCTTATGAGATGAAACACCAAGCATGAGTTGCAATCCTAACTGCAAGGGTGCGTACATGTCATTATCCATTAAAAAATTGCAACTCACCAAAACTATTGAGTCGAACTACGGTGCTCTGATTCCTTAAAAGGGATACATAGGCATACGATCGTGGGGCCAGACTGAGCAAAAATTTGTAAATATTTCCTTCTTTTCTCCATGTTTTCTTTTGCATGCATTTCATCTTTGAATTTTTTTCTTTTAGCTCGTAAGCTATCGATTTGAACACACAATTTGATTAGAACAACAAGAGTGGATCCTATGGAGTACCAAGGACGTGTGGGGTGCTAATACCTACCCCTCGTGTAATCGACTCTCTTACTTATATCTCTCGGTCGTTTGATCGTGATTTCACCCTTCTCAAGTTTAATCGATGTTTACCTTTCCCTTCGTGTGGGATAAAAAAATGTTCGATGGCGACTTCATTGATTTTCATCTCGATGATTTGTTATGCCTGTTGTTTCAGCTAGCGACTTCACTAGGGACAGATTGACCAATTGCTGGTCCATCCCTGAGTCACTCCTAGCTCTTGTTTTATTTTCCTTGGTTTTTTTTAATGTTTTACAGTTATTCATTTGTACATGTTTATCTGAGCATATGTTTGCATTTCATCTTTATCACTTTCCATATACTAATGCCATGTTGGATTTTGTATTTCTTTGTTGGGTGGATGGTACTATTGAGGTAAAAGGCCCAACACCCAGGCCATAGTTATAAACTCTTAGGAACACATAGGAATAGAGTAGAACATGATGGCTAGGGGATGTAGATCTTTCTAGTTCAATCATGTCGTCCACGCTTTGTAGTAGTAGAAATGTTGAGACTAAGCTATTCGATTGACTTAACTCGCACATATCAAATAAAAATTGCCACTGCACTTTATTGTTTCCATATGAATAGGTAAAGAGAGAATAACCCAAAAAAGGGGAGAGGAGAATCTAGGTACGGGGGTTGGTTATGTAAAGGGAAGGTATTAACACCTTAAACACGACGATACTCTGCAGGAACTCACTACCCACGATTATGAGAAAGGAGAATTTGCATCATCTCAAAGTGGAGGATGTAGCTTGGATTTTAAAATCAACAAAGCCTCACTCATTACCCAAGTGGAAAATATCTCACTGTACTACATATCATAGAAGTATAATAGCTCGCATCACTACAAGGATTTGTCAAGAGTCTAATCTTTTGAGAACATTTTAAAGTAAAAAGCTAAAGTAGAAAAATGATTTGAATGAGGTTGATTTACTTTTAGTCTTCTCACAAAAAATTTCAAAGTATAACTAAGTTGGTTAAAGTTTAATTAAGAAAATATTTTTGAAAATGCCTGGATCTAAGTCCAAGTTTATTATGAAATTGGTTCAAGTTAGAAAACAAGAAGAGTTTTGAAAAGGAGGGAGAATATTTTTGAAATTAAAGAAGATGGGAGGAGATGAAGGGACTATCTTAAAGTATAAGGTCAAAGCTAGGGAAAAGGACCGTCTAACCAACAAGAAGCCAACACTTGACATAAAGATTCAATGTAGAATTCCCATCCTTTGGATTGAAATCAAGCAAGAAAAGATATTAAAACTCTTAAGAGTACCAAGCTTCAGATGAATTAAGTCTTCTCGAAAATTGGGCAGAGTAACAACTGTATACAGATGATTTCCCAATCACATATAAAGCATATAATTAGAGTAACCTGCACACAAAGAAAATCAACCCAATGTCTTGGGGGTAAACCCCAAGAGCTCCATAAAAAGTAACAATCAGAGTCACAAGGTCTCAAGGGTATCCAAGGCTTCTAATCCTAAGTCTGGGAAATCCACAACTCCTTTATGCCAAGGATAGTAACCAAATAGTTCAAGTAACATTAAATTCTTTTAGTGT